GCCTTTGAGTTACGGTGTTAGAGGAGAATACTGAAAGTGCCAAGGGCTGCCAAAAGAACCAATATATCCAATTTGGAAGAAGTGCAACCAGAGTGCTCTTTGAAGGCCAAGATGGCCAAATTTTGTCTCTCATACTTTGGACATATTGTCAGGATGGAGCAGTAGCTGCAGAAAGGTATCATGTTTGGTAAGGTAGAGAGTCAGAGAAAAAGAGGAAGACCCCCAACGAGACGGATTGGCCAAGTGGCAGCATCAATGGACTCAAGCGTGGCAACAATAGTGGTTGGCCCAGGATTGGGCAATGTTTCGTTCTGCCATGCATAAGGTTGCTATGAGTCAGTACCGACTCGATGGCATCTAACAAAAACAACAACCTCCTATCAATGGTTTTAAACAACCTACTTTGCCTCTAGCATATAGCACACAGCCTGGTTGGCTGGAACTGTCCATGGTTGTGTGGTCCAGACTAAGACACTAGCAGGAGATGAGCCATCTGTGAAAATCAAGGGATACATATGTTAGCAAACGTTGTAAGTCAACAACTTTGATAAAATCCAGCAGTGAATAAATCTTACCTGAAAGAGATGCCAATGCAGGAGGAGGTTTCAAGATAGGGAATTTTACATATATAGAACGACTGACATGCTCAGGATTGTACTCCAGTTCTGCTTCAGCCAATGCAGTTCTAAGGGTTAAAAACATTAGACATAAATACTTGGAAGTCTAACTACTTTCTCCCCTTAAATTACCAAACACACATACAATACCTTGATGAGGGAGACCAAAATACAGGTTTGTAAGCACGATAAACCAACCCCTAAGAAAGACAGAAGTAGTATATTAAAACTGTAATTTCGTAACTTATGATTCCACACACTGAAAAAAAAAAATATAGTACCTTTTCATACATTTCATAGAAAATTCTCAACTGTTGGGCCTCATATTTTTCATCAAATGTATAGTAGCAATTATTCCAATCTGCCATTATTCCCCAACGAGTAAATGCTGATTTCTGTTTTTCAATGGCTGCTTTAGCAAATGATCTGGCTAAAAAAAAAAAAAAAAAAAATTGCTTGAGAACCAATTACCTCAAATTCTTTAAAGCAGTTTAGCATGCACATATCTAAACACAAATGTTATCTAGTTAAGACTATAATAACTTTTAATAGGAATATAATTTTGAACGTTTAAAGTATTCAGAAAATACCAATAATTTCAGAAATTAACTGGAATTTCATTAATTAAAATCGTTTGCTGTATTTTCCTGATTTTATAGGATAACTTTACATTTTCAACAAGTCATATTTCTTATTTTAAGAAAAAAGCAAAGAACAATTATCTTCAGTATTGTTGTAGTTCTTCAATGTCGTTGAGTCTGTTCAGACTCATAGCAACCTTGTATAGAATTCCGAGGCGCAGCTAATTCATTTGAACCGCCGACTTTGTGATTCAACCTAACCTTGTGGTCCAGTGCATTATCCTGTAATGCCACTGACATTTAGTATATATGATCTAAGCCAATAATATGAAGTAATTAAGGTTTTACACAGAATATCTGAATATGCAATAGTAAATTACGCAAGGAGTTTCCTCCCTAACCCAATTTAATAATAATAATTTTTAAAAGGATCAAATAGAAAATTATTGAAATATGCGTATTTTACAATTTATTGCTTATTTAGCTCCTGAAATTGGTCAAAAGTCCTAGTCAGGAAAGGAAATTTAAAATCCAGGCAAAATAACTTGATACATAACGAAGGTGCAAGAACTGAAAATCAAAAGTAGACTTAGTTAGAAATGTTTATAAAACTCTTTCTTCTGTCTTCTGAACATATTTCTCACAAAATACAATTCAATAAATCTGAATTTTCTGTGACAAAACATGTTTTACAATAAATTTCATTATGGGAATAAAAGCTCTGGTATTTTCAAGGGACAAGTAAGTGCTTTAAAATGCCACTAATTAGTGTGCTGTGGAGTCAGTTCCAATACATAGCGACCCCACATAGGGTTTCCAAGGCTATAAACCTTTACGGGAACAGAAAGGCTCATCTTTCTTCCGCAGAACAGCTGGTAGTTTTGAAATGCTGACCATGAGATTAAGCAGCCCGATTCGTAACCACTACGCGACCAGAGCTCCTTAAATGCCATTTGAAAACAGAAATAAAAATAACTTACCTTTCCCTCTAATTTCTAGAGCTGATAGATTATGAACTTTTTCACCAAGTTCTGATAACACTTTTATTTCAATGGGTAACCCATGACAATCCCAGCCTGGAACATAATGTATTTTGGAACCTTTCATCATATGGTATCGATTAGCTATATCTTTCAAAATCTGCAAAGATAAAATAATGATCATCATAAAGAGCATGACCCACAATTTGCATTCTTTTCTTTAATATCATTTTGAAACCCTTAAAAAGCCCAATTTAAAAAAGATCTATATAAAATAACCTACGAAATCTACTAAATCAAGTTCCATATGAACTGAGGACTAACAGTTACTTGAATGCCATTACCCTCTCTTGCACAACACAGAATAAGAATATAAAACTGAAAAAGATCATGCCCAAAATTAATTATTTATAAAGCTCATATATGTCAAACAGCAATCCATACTACGCTTACAGAAAATACTTTGAACTTACAAAATCAGCTGTTGTTGTGTACCATTGCATCAACTGACTCATCACTACCTCATGAGATGAAACCCTTAAGAGGGTTTGTTATGTGCCGTGGAGTCAATTCCACCTCATAGCAACCTTGTACAGGGTTTCAAAGAAGTAGCTGGTGGGTATGAAGCACTGACCTTAAGGGTGCCCATAGGGTTTGTTGTTAAGTGACATTGAGCTAGTTGCAACTCAAGTTTGAACCACTGCCCTGATGCTTTCATCTTTATAGGAACAAATCACCAGATTTTTCTCCTGCAGAGCCGATGAGTGGATTTTAACCACCATACTTTTCGTTAGCAGCTAAGTGCTTACACACTGCACCACCACAGAGTTCAAATAAAACAATTACAAATTTGCTTTATTCTTTGGGGAGAAAATTACTGACAAAGAATCCAACATAATTTACAGACTAAGAAATATTGAGTCACTGCAGAATTTTAACATATTCAGAGACTAGAGTATGTGGCTACTGTATTTTGATGCAAATAAAATATGTATTAAGCATGTTTTGCCAATCAAGTACACCTACCCTTACCAACGACATTGTTGGCAAAGATGTTTGATGATAAAAATACTGTAATTCATTCTGTCACTGCCAACATCTTTACCAAAATAGTATACCTCTTCACCAGGTACAGTTTTATAAAGGAGTCACCTTGCATGGGTTCTCTCAGAGACTACAGACCCTTAATCATTTTTCTATATATGGCCATTATAAAATGGAAAACTAAAGACAAACCATATATTTAACTTCAAGATCAATTTTCTTAAGAATACCCACATTTCATGCAAATAACACATGCATTAACCTTTTCTTTTGCCAAATCACCCCCATTTAGTTTCTTAAGTGTGCTATGCTAAGTTTTTTCAGTAATGAGTACAAACAACAGCATAGCACCCTTATAAAATAGCTTGGGAAGGGGGAGAAATGACCTCCCACAAGTGTAATACATACTCATTTGCATAAAAACATGGTAGTGCTCTGTCCACTACTGCAGAATTCCTGAAAATAATTTCTTTCACTTCACACCCATCCAAACAGTAGAAATCATCAAAAGGTAGAAAAGATATTACAGTTTTTCCTATACTCCCCATCTCGTAGGAAAAAAAATGTTAATTTTCAAAATTCATACAAAATGGCAGTGGGAGCACTCTAGAATGTTGGAAATATTAAATATCTTGATCTGGATAGCAGTCACACAACATAAAAATTTATCCAATTACTTGTACATAAATAAAATTTATATGCTTTACTATGGATATTTAAATCAATCTATAAATAAGGAACTTTCTTCCTACCTATCTCTTATTAGTACTTATTTTTTCTTACATATTATCTATCCCAGTAAAACATAACAAAATGTGCAAAGGCCTGGAATTAGAAACCAAAAGGGAAAAAGAACATGCTCAGCATTTCTCAAGCTGAGGGAACTAAAGAAAAAATTCAAACTTCGACATGCAGTATAGACGGATTCTCTGGGCAAAACATTGAATGACGCAGGAAGCATCGAAAGAAGATGGAAGGAATACACAGAGTCACTGTACCAGAAAGAAATGAACGATGTTCAACCATTTCAACAGGAAGCCTATTATCAAGAGCCAATGATAAATGAAGGAAGAAAGAAGTCCAAAGCGCAGTCAAGGCATTGGCAAAAAACAACACAGTGGGAATAGATGGAATACAAATTGAAATCTTTCAACAAACGGATGTGCAGTAGAGGCACACATTCATCTATGCCAAGAAATTTGGAAGACAACTATCTGGACTACTGACTGGAAGAGTTTCATATTTGTGCCCATTGCAAAGAGAGGTGACCCAATGGAATGTGGAAATCATCAGACAATATCACTGATAACCCATACAAGATTTACCAAAGGTAATATAAAATGGCTGCAACCATACATTGGCAGAACTTCCAGAGGTTCAAGCTGGATTCAGACGAGGGCGTGGAATGAGGGATATCATTGCTAATGTCATAGGGATCTTGGCTGAAAGCAGAAAATATCAGAAAGATGTTTGCCTGTGCTTTATTGACTACACAAAGCCTTTCAATTGTTTGGATCAAAACAAGCTATGGACAATACTGAAGAGAATGAGTATTCCGGAACACTTAATTGTGCTTATGAGGAACCTGATACAGCCAAATATTATAATAAAATTTGCAAAGATTTGGAATCAGAAAACCAAAAAGGAAGAACACGCTCAGTATTTCTCAAGCTGGGGGTACTGAAGAAAAAATTCAAGCCTTGCATTCATTATTGAAAGATTCTCTGGCAACAGCCATAATTAATAAAGGAATTAAAATGAAAATATCTTCATTTTAATATTAATCGAGGAATTAAATAAATGAGACATGGGGAAACCTGGGCATAGAAGAATTCTTTGTTTTAGCAGAGCTATGATGAATTATTTTCTTTGCATGTCAGAGCCGCAAAGTTATTTCTATGCACAGACCCCTAGTTAAATTTTTCTCCTGTTAAATCATTCTTTGATTTATTCATGATTTTATTAGTATCCCTTTTTACTTTAGATCTTTGACTCTCCTACACCTTAGTATATTTTTATTAAAAGTTAGAAGCCACACATTAGCTACATTTTATTCTACTTGTAATCTTAGGTAGTTTTAATACTTTTATTAACAATGTTCTTAAAACTGCTAGGAGACTAGGATTTGTCAATTGAATTACTACCAGCTTAGGTTTAGTGATTGTAAACATTCTTCCTTGTAGCC